AGAAGTTGCTGGGGAAGAGGAGCACTTTGCTGAAGAGAAGAGGGAGCTGGGCGGGCCTTGAAGATGTGGTGGGTTAAAGAAGGGCACCAGGTGTTAGGGGACCACAGGTTGGACCCCAGCATCAGGTCTGATGGACCCCAACTGTCTGCAACCTTAATGACAAGCAGAAAAGGGAGTAGGAATCTGGAGGCTTGAATTCTGGTCTCCTTCACTGGTCAGCTGGGTGGCCTTGGGCAAGTTGCTTCTCCTTTCTGGGCCTCTTCATCTATTAAATAGGTACCTGACCTCCTATGACCCTTTGAGTTCTGCTATTCTGATTCCATGTCAAGTTTCTGAAGTAGAGGGGTGCTGATCGATGGTGAGTTGCACATGCCCCCCCCCAGGACCAAGCACTGGGAATGACCCTAACTAGGTCCTGGACAGCCCCAGAGAAGGTGACAGAGCCCAAAGCTGCGGCCTGACTCAGAGGATGTAGAGGTTGGGGGCAGCAGAAGACAGTGTGCCCAATTCAGAGTGAGTAAAGTGCCCAGCAATCAGAGCACAGGGCAGGGTTTTCAGGGACTCCCCTTCCTTTGCTGTGCTTCCCTGTCCTCGTCCTTGCCACATCCCCAGACTCAGTAAATACAGATCTGGGATTTGAAGCCCAGCTCCTCAACTGTATGGCTCTGAGAAAGTCACTTAACCTCTCTGAGCCTCACTCCCCACATTTATGAATGGAATGACTCAAATTAACTCAGAAGATTGTCGTGAAACTCTGTAAAATTGCCCAGGACTGTGTGTCCTGCTGGATCTCCCCTCCCTGAGTCTGGAAAAGGACAACTGATACAGAAGCCTTCACAGGCCACAGGGCCAATGGTTCATGGTGCTTTGCAAGCGCACTGAGGTGGGGTGGGGCATGGCGAGGGGTAGGCAGATGGTGGGGAGGTTGGCAGGGAAGAAGAGGGAGAGGGGTATTGCCCAAGCAGTCCCTGACTGCTAGTGAGGAAGGCCCACTCCCCCAGCAGACTGATTTATTGTGTAATCGGCAAGGACCCAGGAGCTTTCTGTAATTTTTCTTTGGGGGTCCAGCATTGAGACCAAGCTGATGGATGAAGGGGGGGCCGTATGGGGAAGGCTCCCCAGTCTCATAGCAGGCCTGGCCTGCACATGCACTGTGGGTGTTCCTGCCACTTTTTTGAGCCTGGTTCATCCAAGGCCCCCAGTTTCTAATCTGGTTGGGAAGGATTTATTTTTGGGTCCCTGTAACCTAGCAATGGGCTCACATGACCAGTGGCAGCTGCAGACTGAATATACCGTTGGATCTTGGCTCCTGGCAGGGGGTGTAGGCCAGACTGTGGGGGAATAAAGGGAATGGAAAGGCTCTCACCTCTGCTTTCCTCTGCAGCCCCCTCAGCCTGGCCCCCAGATGGTGGGCACAGGGGGTGGGGGCCTGGGGAGCAGACATGGCTGGTGTTGGCATAGGGGCTCTGGACAGCCGGGAGCTGCAGTGGGGCGGGTCCAGCTGTGAACCTGCTGTCGCGTGGGGAGAGCTGGGTGTCCATGTGGATGTAGGGGGTGCAGAGAGGATGCGATGCTGGTGTCCTGGGGGGGAAGCCCAGGCTGCGGGGAGCAGGCAGTTGAACCGACAGCCTGTGTTGTGGGATCTCAGGGACACCCCTGGTCGATGCTGGAATCCCAGCATTCAGCTGCTTCCCTTTGTTCCCTGTTAAATTGTTAATATCCCTGGGAGAGAGAACACATTAGCTGCTATCAGTGTGAGTGGATTTATCAGCCTCTTTCCTGTGAGCAGGTTTCGACAGAGGCAGAGACAACAGAGGAGGGCAGTGGGTGCCACTAAGCAGGTGAGGGGCTCCCGGGAGGGGGGCTGTGGGTGCATAAAAGGCATTCGATAGATATTTATTGAAAAAGTGGATGGATGGATGGATGAAAGAGAAACTTGGTTAGCTTCCTGATCTTCTCTTCAGGCGCAGGAAAGGGTGGCTGGGGGTGGACGTGACCCCATCAAGAGGTGCTGGTGGCCAAGGGCAGGACAGGCCACCCCAAGGAGCAAGTCTGGGATGGAGAAATCAGACCTCAGCACCCGGGGCCCCACCACAATACTGAGGAGAGAGTACCACTGACCCCAATGTGACAGGAGTCCACTCCTGGGCATGTGTGCAGCATGCTGGGCCATGGATCTCTGATGTGGTTTGTGGGGCCACCCCAGTTTCTCCACCTCCGTCTTCCCACATCCTCCATTGCACTAACCTTTGAAAGGAGGGATTGGTAGGGTGAGGTGGGGGAATGTAATGTCAACAGCTACTCCAAACCCTGATTGAGATCATTTAATGAGATACAGCATAAGAAGTGCCTCCCCGAATGGGCGCCCCAAAACTAGTATCATCACCATCATCATCATTACTGTTTTTACTATTATTTTTTTAAAAGATTTATTTATTTATTTATTTGAGAGGGAGAGAGAGAGAGAGAACAAGCAGAGGGAGGGGCAGAGGGAGACGGAGAGAGAGAATTCTCAAGCAGACTCTCCACTGAGTGCAGAGCCCCATGCGGGGCTCGATCCCAGGATCCTGAGATCATGACCTGAGCGGAAAGCAAGAGTTGGACGCTTAACTGACTGAGCCACCCAGACGCCCCTACTGTTTGTATTATTATCATCAGCTGCCCCAAGGCCAGGAAAGGCAGTCTCCCCTCCCTCCCCACTCCCAAGCCAAAATGGCTTCCAGCAACTGAGATGATGCTCCAGGATCCACAGCCTCATTGGAACCACCTTTCCTAACGGCTCTATGGGAGGGGCCTCAGGACCTGGAGACTTGGCCCGCTGGCTACATGCCAGTTGTCTGGCCAGCCAGGGTAAACTGTATCAGCTCCCCCAAGCCTGAACAGAAGGATATGTTTGTATTGCAGGCTTCCTATCCCTATTCAATAACCTGGGGGGGTGAAGAATTGTTGCCCATTTTAGAGATAGAAAAACTAAGGAAGCTAGAAAAACTAAGGCACAGATGGCCAACTCACCTGCCAAGGTCTTACCACCAACCAGTAGAGTAGAGCCCAACTAGAACCAAGGTTTTCCTCCCAATCCAGTGCTATTTCTATAATCCTGTGCTGGTGAGCCTGTGTCTGCTCTGGTTCTTTCTCAGTCCTTGGAAGGGGGCCATTGGCTGGGCCCCTCAGGAAGCATATGGGTGCTGATCAGGCTTTACCCGATCCCAGAGGGTTTGACTAATCTCAAGATGTTCTTGCCAACATGGCAGCACAGGGTTTAATAGAAACCATTTTGCTGTCTACAGGTTTACATTTGGTATTTTAATTTGATTTCCCTGTACTAAGGTGCGTGTTTTGTTTTCGGCTGTTTCCTGGAAGGCAATGGCCACTTCTATGGAATAGGCTTTAGGGCTTCAGCCCAGAGTCTCATGTCAGGTCTCCAGAGAGGTCCTGGGGGCATGGAGGAAGGGGTAAATGCTTTGGCTTCAAACAGACTTGGGTTCAAATATTGGCTCTGGCACTTCCTATCTGTGTGATCTGGAGAAAGTCACTTAACCTCTGCCTCCCATTTCCTCATCCGTAAAATAAGGTGCATAAAGGCTGCCTCATAGAACTTGTGTGAGGATTGAAGGTACTGTATGTGAAGAATTTGGCACTTGTAAGAGTCCAAGAAAGGGTTTTGGGGGATACTGGCGATCACTGCTTCAGCTCTGGGCGGGTCGGTGGTCTCTTCGTGGTTGACCTGGGGCCCGGAGCAGCCACCTTGCCCTCTCTGGGTGTTCTGAATAAGTCATTGTTCTCATGGCTCTTTGGGTTGAGTCTGGTCTTTCTTCCCTTTTGGAGGCAGAAGGAGTTTCTGGACGGGTAAGTCTCAGGGCAGAGGGCTCTGGAGTAGGTATCACGCCTGAATTCCTGGCCTAGGCTCACGGCTCTGCCATGCGTGGCTTTGGACGACCTCTTCACCTCTCTCGGCCTCAGAAACATGGATGCTTCAGCCTGTAGCGTGTCTTACAGCTCTGCAATGTTAGGATCCTATCCTTGGGTGTCAGTCACGTAGCTAGGGGAACTGAGGGTTTCTTCATGGTGGGAAGCCTTGCGCCTCCATCTCACTCCCAAAACGCTCATCACTTGGCCTTGGGCCCTCTACGGATGGTGTTCCGTGCAGCTCAGTCCAGTCCTACAGATCCAGAGCAATCTGAGCCTTCCCGAGGTCCTGGTGCCTGCTCTGTCTTCAGGGAACAGTGTTCTGGTGGCACCACATGTGGGGGCTCATGGGGATGTTAGATCCCCCCATTTCCATCAGTTCTCCCAGCCCACACCAAATATACATATACAATCTAAGAAACCGATAGTAACGTGCTTTCTGAGGGACAAATGCAGGGTTAGGACAAGGCCTTTAGCTCCCCTTCAAACCTGAATGCTACTCCTGAACCTCTTGGCTGTACATATTTGGCAGCTGTCAAAGGAGCCGGACCCTGGAACCTTGGCCCCTGCCAGGCCTAACCCCGGTACTCTGTGTCTCCCCTGACGGGCCTGCTGCAAGAGCATCTTGGTTCTGATGTCACACAGAAGCATACAATGGCAGGCCTGTCAGGAGCCTCAGGATCATCTATCCTATATTCTCTCTGAACAAACCAAGGCCAGAAACGGGAAGTGACTTGCCCAAGGTCATACAGCTAGTAAGTGCCAGAACCACTTAAGGATTTAAGAAAATCCTTAAATCTGGATTTTCTGACTCCGAGTACCCTTTATACTTCATCAGGCTGGCCAGGAGGGTCTCTCCTGCCCCCAGTCACCTGGCCCCATGAGGGTTTTGAGATCCCACTCCAGCACCCCGAGAAACGTGATGGGGGTTGGAACCACCCCTGAGCATTCTCCCTGGGGGCACTGGTGCCTGGCTCCTTGCTTCAGAAGTGGCTCCAAGTGGCTGGGTGGGAAGCAGGAGGCCATTAGGACCCAGAAGCTCTTGGAGCATCCTGCTCTGCCGGCTGCCTCTCACCGCTCACTGCAGTGGTTCAGGCTTCAGCAGCCTTGGAGAAGCATCAGCTGAGAGGAGCAATCACATGGGAGCCGGGAGCTGCTCAGCGAAGGTAGGAGTTGCTGACTAGGCCAGGAATGGGGGCCAGTCCCAGGGCCTGATGGTGAGTGCTGAGGTACTCTGCAGGAGCCTAGCTCTGTGTCCCAAGGACCAGCCAACCCTACCTTATGCTGGGCAGTTTCATCAAGGGATGGGTTCCCAGTTCTCTCAAAGGCAGTATTGGGGTGTGGGCATCTCTGAAGCCCAGAGATGGGCGTTGATCTCCTGCCAGAGGGAGTACCCACATCCTAAGGCAGACAGGGTTCCCCATCTGTCTTACTCCATGTCATAGAGATGGGTCCCCCGCATCCTAGGAATGGGTCCGTTGGTATGTAGGCTGATGGGCAACTCTGCATCCTGGGCGTGGGCAACTCTGCTGTGGAGAGGTGTGGTTGCCCCCTGGAGATCCCCCCTGGCTTAGGAGGGCCATGCTCTTGTCTGAAGGAAGGCCGTGCTCGGATCCTTGGGAGGGAAGCTCTGTATTTGGGGAACAGGTGCATGCGAATCCCAACGACACATCTGTGGCCTTAGGCTGGGCACTTATGCACATCTTGCATCCTGACACAAGGATGTTTGTAACTTGACCATGCCCCGTCTAGGGGACCAGACCTGAGCCCCTATGGTGGCAAAGCCTGCCAGGTACTGAGAGGTCCTGGAGGTGAGGGAGGGCTTGCTGGCAGGAAACAGTGGGAAGACAAGAGCGTGTGAGAAGGCATGATGATGTGAGCTAGGAGTGGAGTGAGGCTCTCTGGGCTTCCCCTCTGACACTGTGATGCACAACCCTCCCCTCCTCAACCCCCATCCATCAGTGAGGGAATGCTGGCGAGCAGGAATGTTGGTCCATCTGTTATGACGGAAATGGGAATCCTGGAATTTAGAAGTCAGTGTGGAGATCCTGGCCGGGCCGAGGGGGTTCTGGAAATGAGAATTGTCCAATGTCTTCTTGTCTAGGGCTTCATCATGGCTGCACAGTATCCCCTCCATCTCCACGTGGAAACCATGTCCGCTTCCCTCAGTCTGGGACCCTGGGTGGGCCTTGCTGGCAGACTCTTGATGTCCATGCAGACACGGAGGGCCTTTACTCCTTTAGCTCCCAGGGCCTCAGAGCCACGTCTTCTGGGCCCCACTCCCAGGTGGAAGGGACGAGGAAGCCACAGCATGGAGAGTAAGGGGCAAGGATGCCTCTCCTAGCGTTGCTTTCTGCATTTTTCCTGGTAGACTGTCTTATGAGCAGCTGATGTCTCCACTTTTAAGCCCTCTCTTCACCTTCTCTGTAGACCCTGAGTCTATGTGGCTATTTTAACTGTGAAATGAGCTTCCTGTTATCCCTGCAGAGAGGCACATCCCTAGGCAATTGTCCAAAGTTAGGGCTGCGCCAAGTCCAGGAGACCAGGTTACCCTTTCCAGAGCAGAGTCGCCTGGCTAACACACAGTTGACCTACTGAGTGTGCTTGGAGCAGGTATTAAGGAGGGCAGGGACTCAACAAACCAGTTTGAATTTGATTCACAAAGTTATATCGAGCACCTATTGCATGCATGTCATGCTTGAAGTTAAATTCGTGCATGGTTGGTGGTAATGCCCAAACCCAAGGGTGGTTGTAAGGCTGTAACTATGGGGAGGGAATGCGGATGGTCTGCCCCATGTGGTCCACTTTATCGCAGTCAGAGAATTGATGGGTTTTTAGACTGAGCAACCCAGGAACTCACAGAGTCATCAAATGTTGCCAGATATGGGAATCTTGGAGGTCATCCAGTTCAACCTTCCCATTTTACAGACGAGGAAACCGTGATCCAGGGAACTTGGGATTTGTCTACCGACGGCCCATCAGACTTGGCATGTCCATAGTTTGCCTCAAATTTGCATATTTTCCCACCGTATACTGGGAGAAACTGGATTGCAAGAATAGGCTATGGAAATAAAAATACTTTTTAATTGCATTATTATTTCAATTATATGCAAACTTAATATGGATAATGAGACACATGAAACATCTGATCTGCCATTTGGTCAGGAGAAATGAGAGATGCTGAAACCCCAGACTTCTTCCCCTCCCCATTCCTTCCAGTTGTCTTCTCTGCTTTATACTCAACCATTTCCACAGTCACAGTGACCTACCCACTCTCAGACACCTACTTCTCCCTCCTTGCTCTGGAATGTGCTAACAGTCCAGGGCCAAGAGGACTCTGGGCCAGGGATCTGCTCCAATGATCAGAGATCTGGGGACCCAGGGAGTGGGAGGTTAGGAGCATTTCCTCTCCCACCTGCAGGGGCACAGTGGCCTTGAGAAGCTGATGAGTGGGTGAAGAAAGGCAGCTTTCAAGTGACCTATGCCCTTCTGCTTTGGGGGCAGTGGAGGCTGGATGGGCTGACATCCCAGTTTCCTTCCAGCTGGGACATTTTGATTTCACTGTTCCTTCTCAACAGCCCCCAAATGGCAGCTCTTTGTCTTGAGGATGGTGATGTCACAGGAGACTAAAGCACAGTCCTTCCCCCTTTCAGGGGATCTCTTCCCAGTGGTAACCCCAGAGCACTGACAGACGTTTTTAGAGATGGTTCAGATTCAGCAACTATTCACTGAATGCCTATTGCATTCCAGGCGCTGTGGAGGGCACGGTCAGGTGGGCTGGAGTACTGGCCCTCGAGCCGGGGCACCTGGGTACGTACCCAGACCTTGCCGCCTTTGGTAAGTTACTTGACCTCTCTGGGCCTCAGTTTCACCAACTGCAAAATGGGCATGAGAGTAATACCTACCTCACAGGTTGTGTGAGGATTAGAATGAGCTTATTTATGTACAGTGCTTAGAACAGGGTTTGGTATTTGGAAACCGCCTTTATAAATGTGAGCGCTTATGGGTAGTATTGTTATGAAGTCTCACAGGACCCTCCAAACATAGTCATGAAGTAGCTGTTATTCCCTTCATTTTACAGATGCCTTCACGAGGAAACTGAAGTCCAGAAGAGTCACAGAGTCAGTAATTCCCAGACCTGGGCCTGGAAACCAGATCTCGTGTCCCTTCTACTCCCCAACAGCTCCTGCCATTCTGAGAGACAAGAAATCAGGAAATTTACATAAGCAACTTGAAAACCGGGGCCCTATCCCGGAGCTCAGTGGGACCCTGGGAGAGGGAGAGAGAGGATTTAGAATCTCTGGATAACAGTCCCTGAGAGAGGAGAAGGGTATGGAGAACAGAGGCAAGGAAAAGAAAAAGGAGCGAGAGACCACTCAGAAGGTGGAGTGTTGAGTGAGTGAGGCTCCGGCGTCTCTCACGTCTCCTGCTTCTCCGAGGTCACCAAGGCAGACCAGAGCCACCTCTTGCCAGAGAGGAGAGATGAGCTTCTGAGCGCTCAGTTCGGTGGTATGCACAGCCCAGCCTGGAAGGCCGGCGATTAGAGCCCATCCGGGAGGCTCCAGCAGGAGGCGGCCTCTCCCCCCCGTTCCCCCCACACAAAATTGGCAAGCCTGGGCCTGGGCTGGCCATCCCAGGGTCACTGGACTAGGATGGGGGATGGGCCTGTGACAGGAGGTGCCCTGGGTGTCCTCTTTCGGCCCCATGGAGTCCTCTCCCATCCCCCATTCATCAGGGAACTCTTCCACTCTGGGGAGGGTCCCTCAAACCCCAGGTCCCTCTACGGCCAGTGGGGTCCCAGAGGTGGGGCTGAGGGACGTGGCCTCGGAATCTGTGGCCCTCTTCTTCATGCTCCTGCTGGACTTGATCGCTGTGGCTGGCAATGCTGCTGTGATGGCTGTTATCGCCAAGACACCCGCCCTCCGAAAATTTGTCTTTGTCTTCCACCTCTGCCTGGTGGACCTGCTGGCCGCCCTGACCCTCATGCCCCTGGCCATGCTCTCCAGCTCTGCCCTCTTTGACCATGACCTCTTCGGGGAGGTCGCCTGCCGCCTCTACTTGTTCCTGAGCATATGCTTTGTTAGCCTGGCCATTCTCTCGGTGTCGGCCATCAATGTGGAGCGCTACTATTACGTTGTCCACCCCATGCGCTACGAGGTGCGCATGACGCTGGGGCTGGTGGCCTCTGTGCTGGTGGGCGTGTGGGTGAAAGCCTTGGCCATGGCTTCTGTGCCGGTGTTGGGAAGGGTCTCCCGGGAGGAGGGAGCTCCCAGCATCCCCCCAGGCTGCTCACTCCAATGGAGCCGCAGTGCCTACTGTCAGCTTTTTGTGGTGGTCTTTGCTGTCCTTTACTTCTTGTTGCCTCTGCTCCTCATCCTTGTGGTCTACTGCAGCATGTTCCGAGTAGCCCGAGTGGCTGCCATGCAGCACGGACCGCTGCCCACATGGATGGAGACACCCCGGCAACGCTCTGAGTCTCTCAGCAGCCGCTCCACTATGGTCACCAGCTCGGGGGCCCCCCAGACCACCCCGCACCGGACGTTCGGGGGAGGGAAGGCTGCAGTGGTCCTCCTGGCCGTGGGGGGACAGTTCCTGCTCTGTTGGTTGCCCTACTTTTCTTTCCACCTCTACGTTGCCCTGAGTGCTCAGCCCATTTCGACTGGGCAGGTGGAGAACGTGGTGACCTGGATCGGCTACTTCTGCTTCACTTCCAACCCGTTCTTTTATGGATGTCTCAACCGGCAGATCCGGGGGGAGCTCAGCAAGCAGTTTGTCTGCTTCTTCAAGCCGGCTCCAGAGGAGGAGCTGAGGCTACCTAGCCGGGAGGGCTCCATTGAGGAGAACTTTCTGCAGTTCCTTCAGGGTACAGGCTGTCCCACGGAGTCCTGGGTTTCCAGACCCCTCCCCAGCCCCAAGCAAGAGACACCTGCTGTGGACTTTCGAATTCCAGGCCAGATAGCTGAAGAGACCTCTGAGTTCCTGGAGCAACAACTCACCAGCGACATCATCATGTCGGACAGCTACCTCCGTCCCGCCCCTTCACCTCGACTAGAATCATGACGGGCTTCTGGCCACTTGGAGGGAGATGGGGCTGGGGCCACTTATGACTGAAGGAACACCTTGTGGGATCACCTGTTCCCGGCTAGCAGGGGCTGGGGCTGGGGTCTCTGCACACAGCTTTTGCTTAGTGTTTTCTGGGTCAGGAACAATGCCAACAGGATGAACGTGTGGCAAAAGCCTTGGACATGGCTATGATCCTTGACTACTGGGGGAGGGAACCTGGTGAGATGGTAATGAGAATAAAGGGTCACGAAGGTGAGATGATTCCTTTCAACCAGCGAACTTTCCATGCCTCAGGAAGCAGAGAGACTCCCTAAGGGTAGGAGTTGGAGGATATAGAGCGGCAGGCCAGGTTTGGAGTTATCCTGGGGATTCTTTAGGATATTTCATTTTTCAGTGTAATTGTCCAGGGCAGTAACTGTACCCAAGCAAGGTAAGAAAATGACCTGTGTCTTCTCCTTTCCTTGTTAGGTTTAAAAAAACCTAGATAAAGTACAGCTTTATTTGAGTTAATGGATCATTTTCTAGTTTTAGACCTGAGGTTTCCTTAAACTGAGAGGGCCAGCTGGGTATATTCCTCTCCCAAGTTTGGCCAGAAGCAAGGGGAAAAGCAGGGTACAAAGAGGAGAAGGCAGGAGAGCTGACTGCAGCTCTCTCCCACCCTCTGGGAACAGCCCTTCTGTTCTATTTTGCTGTCTTTCTCCTGCACATGGGAGATCAAGCTTCCGGCTTGATCTCAGCAAAGGCAAGGATACAACAGGATGGCTCTTTCTCCTTATTTTTTAGAATGAAGGAGTGGAAAGATTGGGGGTTGGGTGGCTGAAGGTGGGGGTTAGCATTTGAATTGCTAAGGTGGGTGGATACAGAGAGGCCAAATAATCACCTTGACCAGTAATACTGTAAATCTTTTTTTTTCTTCCTAGGAGTGGCCTCCCTGATCTCTCTCCTCATGGCAGTGACCCACCTCCAGCCCCCTGGACAATCGGGTACAAGAGACTAAGGTTGGGAATGGGAAGGGTGGGGTTTCTATGGTCCATTAAATGCCTCCCTACTCCCATTCATCGCTCTCAAAATTAGCTTCAGTGACAAAGACTTAAATCTCTCTCCTATCTGCAGCCCTGGGCTGGAGAGAGGGCACGGGAGTTGGGTTCAGCTGTTCACTGATTGAGACTGTAGGAACTTGTTGGCTGGTATTGGTGGTGGTATTTGCAAGGGAGGGGAAATAGTTGCAAACTGGACAGGACGCCCATCTGGGATTACCTGTCCATCCACTTCCCTCAGTTGAATCAAGTAACATTCAAGGGTTCAGGCAGGAACAGAGGGCGCTTTGATCTGTATTTGGACAAATTCCTGCCTCATTGAACATTAAAGGGTAAGATGGGCTGGTGGGAGTGGGATAGTTTCCCCTTTGAATGGCCAATAAATACTTATTATAAAAAGTTATACTGATATCAACATTTACTATTTCAGTTCAATTCAGTGCATAATAGTTGAATACCTAGTATTCTATGGGCCCACAGAGTCACTGCCTTTGAGGAGTTCATAGTCTAATTTTATCAGGTACCTTGTATTTTTACAGAGCATTTATATCTGGTAAAGCACTAAAGAATGTTTGAGAAATATATTGGAGCTCAGTCCACTGCAGTAAAGATACCTACATGGAAGCTTACTGTGGATTGTGGAAAGTGTGAGGGTTGTAAATGAAATTCTAGTTGAGGAAAAGAATTTATTAACTGAAACTGGGCAAACAGCTTTCCCCTTTAGATGTAGGAAAATTTACAGGTTTGTCTTCCTACCACCAGACTTACTTTAGTCTAGAACCTATTACACTGAGGAAATCCCCTAGATAGGAGAATCTTTCATGATTGAAAAACATGTAATTCTCGCTCTCCTCCCTTTTAAGATAAACTCATAAGGGAGGCATCTCATTCGTAGATAAGGGGGAAAAAACTCTTCTTCAAACATCACAGATCGGCTAGTAGGCCCTAAGTATTGCCAGCAGGTGGCAGTGTGAGTCCAGTGGAAACAGGAAAGGTGCGTGCATGGGGGAGGTGGGGATGGGGAGAAGGAGTGAGGAGAGGGGAGGACAGGAAACATTGCCTGGCAGCCATTTTGTTAATTTATTTTGCCTTTTTCCTGTGACTTTGCCCTCCAACCCTTCCTTCACATACATCAAAAAAGAAAATTTTAAGTGCAAGGATATCTCGAATTCGGGCTGATATTTCCTGACACTGTGATCTCACGGGTGTTTATTACAGAATTTGACATAGGCTGGTTCATTTGCATTTATTTTTCCCTGTCTGAGTGGATCATGAAGGAAATAAAAATTTCTCTTCTATTATGCTGAGAATTCTCCCAACAGTTTCTGCCATGACCACCTTCCAGTTGTTTTCTAGTCACCAGGATTGCTTGCTAAAGTTTGCTATCTTGGCTATGAAGGCTGTTCCTGGACAAAATTTGACCTCTCTAGTGGGCTCAAGAATCAACAGGCTGAGACAACTGACCCGTCAGTTACTTTTCCTGCACCTGGGTGGTGTTGGGGTAACTCTCAAGCCTAGATGAAAACTTTCTGTTGTCAGGTCTCCCCAGGTAACATCTTATAGTGGCAGGGTAGAAAAGGGGTGAGTTTGGAGGCAGACATCTACTTACTGTGTGAACTTGGGAAAGATGCTTAATTTCTCTGAGCCTATTTCTTCATCTGTAAGAATGGGGGTAACATTACCTACCTCACAGGGTTGTTGTGAGGATTAAAAGAGATGACCATATGGAAGAACCTAGCCATACCTGGCAAATAGGTATTCAGTAAATATTGGTTTTTCTTCCCTTTCCTCTTGCCCTATCCCCCCATAAGTATTGATTATGGGAAAGCCATCCTTTTTATTCTAACAGTCATTTGAGAATGAGTAGGAGGCTTTTCAAACTTTGAAGAACTGGCATTACTAAATTATAGTGGATGAAGTTGTTTAAGGTGGCTCTCAAGAAATCCCTCTAATCAATGAAACATCATCATATAGACCTTTCTGTTGGGACCTTATATGCTAAGGTTTAAATTCTATTAGGGAAATAATTTTTAATCCCAGGGAACGGTTTGGGGGACCACAAGAGTTCTCCTCTCTAGAATATATGGTGAGAGTATTTGTGCAGCTATTTGGCAGTAAAGGTAATTCAGGGCCACTTTCACGGGTAGTACCCAGGATTATGAATGAAAAGGCTAGGAGTCTGAGGCTTTCATGGAGGTTTATTTTCAGGTGATGCTAGAGCTGAGAGACAAATCTACTAGAACTTCCCTTTTTGGGTGGTACTACAACAGGAAATTTCAGTAGGGAGATTCACAGGATGCACTGGTTTGTTTTGGGGTGTGGGCCTGAGGTTAACTGATCTTGGTAGGAGTCTGAAGCCCCTAAAGCAGGATCATTTATCCGCGCTAAAACTGGCTTATACTGGAGAAAGGTAGCACGGAAATCTTGTGGAGAACTACACTCTTACCTTTCAGGAAATAGAATATTGGGCGATTTCAGGTGGCCTTTTGTCAACATAGTCGCTGGGCAACTCGTAGGTAACGGCACAAGGACCGGGATACATCCTGAGAGCAGGTAGCGGTGGGACAGAGGGGAGGGCAGAAGGGGATGCTAAGGTCCCAGGCGTGGTCGGCCTTACAGATCTCAAGATGTGAAGCGTGGCCGGCCCCAGGCTCTGCTGTTTGTTCCCATCCCGTAGATCGGGCTGAGACAACCCCGGCAGTGTCGTACACTTGGGAAGGGGCTTCGGGTCTCCACAGCCAGAGATCAAAGGGGCTTTCTAACCAGTGAGAAATTCCCAGCAGAAATTCCTGTGCGGGCTGGGGACTCTTATTTGGGAACCCCCAGCCCCCATCCAAAGCCGGCTTGACCTCAGGAGGGCGCCACCAACTGGGGAAGCCAGTCCCTAGTTTTTCTACATTTATCCAAATAAGGCAGCCGAAAAGGAGAAGAGGCACTAAGGTCGAGCCGCGTACCAGGTGCCCGACAAGACATCGCTACTCCGGGAACCACCGCTCGGACTCACACGTCCTCTCTCCGTACTTCCGCTTTCCATTGCTCCTCCTCTACCCCAGCTGGAGAGTTTTGAGCAGTAACCGCGGTGGGGCGTTGCCGGAAGTGTCGTAAACGCCGGATATCCGGTTTCTTTGGGCGCTCAAGGAGCTGACGGAGTGGGCCGCCGCCCAGCAGTAGACGCTTTCTCAGGCACCCGAGTCGCAGTTTCCGCGGTGTGTGAGTGAGCCCGGGCTCGGTCCCCTCTCCCGCCGCCGCCATGGGCTGCACGTTGAGCGCCGAGGACAAGGCGGCGGTGGAGCGGAGCAAGATGATCGACCGCAACTTGCGGGAGGACGGAGAGAAAGCGGCCAAAGAAGTGAAGCTTCTGCTACTCGGTGAGGGGCTGGGGGCGGGGCTGGCGGG